ATTTGCCCATCAGTTGGAGACTGGATAAAGAAGATGTGGTTTTTCTATAAAATTGAATACTACTCAGCCATCAAGAATGAGAAATTATAGTCATTCATAGGAAAATGGATACATATTGAGTATATACTCCTAAATGAAATAAATAAGTTAGACATGTATAAATACCAAATAGTTTCTCTGGTGTGAAAAACTATAATGGTACATAAGATCCTAATGATATAATGGACAATGTTAAATAGGAAGAAAAGGCATAAAGGTGTGGGGGAAATGGGAAGGGTAGGGGAAAGGTAATAAGGAAAAAGAAAAGAAAATGAGAAAATGAAAAAATGGAAATAAAGTATTTATAAATAGGGAAGGGAGGAGGGGGTGAAGGGAGGGCAGGGGCAAGGGGAAAAAATGAGAACCAAGACCTGTCCTGTAAAGGTACAAGATCCCAATGAGGAATGTAACTGTACTGTACACCTAAAATGTACCAATAAACTCAATGAGGAAAAAAAAGATACTCCAGGTTGGGCATGGTTATGCACTCCTGTAATCTTAGCACTGTGGGAGACTGAGGCAAGAGGATCACAAGTTCAAGTCTAGCCTGAGTAACTTAGCAAGACAATGTGAAAATAAAATGAAAAAAAGGATTGAGGCTGTGGCTCAGTATGGAGGCTTTGGGTTCAATCCATAGTTCTGCCATCACTACCACCAAAGGATAATTAAAAAGATATTCCAAAGGAACTAATCCATATTCTCCTGTTTACAACTAAATGTAAAGAATTAGACCCCTCCTTTTTTTAAAAGTAAGGACTTTGTTGACCTTTCTTGCATTAAGTGCTTCTAAAAATAAGAGGTAGTGGGCCGGGGATTTAGCTCAGTGGTGCTGCTGCCTGCCTCGTAAGCACAAGGACCCCACTTTGATCCGCAGTACCAAAACAAAACCAAGCAAAAAGGGAGGTAGTGTAATCATCTTTCCTACAGTGGTGATACCAGGACCCACAAATGAACCATGGGGAAAACCACCTATTTCAAGGTAGATTCAAGTACAAGACCTGTGCCTTAAACAATCTGGTTGCTTCTGGGCTAATATTTGAGATATTTTTGTCACACGTTAAATATTTAATAGTCTTCTAGTGTTAAGTTTTGCTACTTTTGACCTTTTGATGTATTATTTAGAACATTGTATCTTTTAAGCAAACATCTGTGTTTCAAATTATTGTTTTATGTCTCAGAAAGCATTCAGAACTCTCCGAACTTAATGTCAAAGTCATGGAGGCGCTTTCATTGTATACGAAGTTAATGAATGAAGATCCAATGTATTCCATGTATGCGAAATTACAGAATCAGCAGTATTACATGCAGGCGTCTGGCGTGTCTGGTGCTCAGGTAGGCTTTTACAAACTCAAGTGTATTCTTTCCAGTTCTCTAATGCAGTGAAGTTACTGAGATCAGCTGATTCTTGCGAAATATGAAACTATGAGAGTGATGTTTAGAATGAAAATCAAAATAAAAATTTTTGATGAATACAATGTGATATGTAAGTATATCAGTGTTTTGTGTTTTAATTGTGTTAAACAGCAGTAGGCAGTGGAATCACTTATGAACTTAAAAATAAAAATACAGACACTGCTCCTGTGCCAGATCTGCTGAATCAGAATCTTTAAAGTTGAGGCCCAAGCATCTGCATATTTTTAGAGCTTCATGTGTCATTATCTGATTAAGAACAGTTCTTGTCATATTTAAGTCAAATTTCTGTTACTTCTCAGAGATGGAGGATTTTGCTTATTTGGTTTTTTGCAGTGAGCTGCTTAACTTAGGTGTTCTTATCACAAAAGAAATAATGTTCAGGGGAGAAGACACTTCTGAGTTGATGGATATGGCTTAGCTTGTGGTGGTGGCTTGAAGGGTATCTACTTACCTCCTCACTTACCAGGCTGGAGACAGCAGGTGCGGGCTTTTCTATGTCAGTCATATCTCAATAAAATATATATATTTTAAACCCCCCAGATTAAAATCTACCATTTCTAGGAATAAAAAACCTCTCTTAAACATCAGTGAACTTCTGCTTATTCTTCAAAGGAAAACTTAAATGCAGTGGGAAAAAATGAGTTGAAAAGCTGTTATTACCCAACAAAATATAGTTATTTCTGCATATTTTTTAAAAGCCGCCTTAGTATGGAACTCCCCTCCTCCTTTACATTAGAATGCACGTAATGCAAATAAGCCCTTTTCTTTCTTCATCTCAAACAACTGTTGCATGTTTTTGTTATAAGGGGAAATTAGCCAGATAACCCTGTTCTGTCTGCTAACAGTAGTCACAAACTTTGGAATATTTTTTCCCATGGTCCATTTCCCCTGAAAGGAGGGGCAGCACCCAGGAGTTGAATGACCAGGCCCAAGAAACCCGAAGTGAGAGCACCTTCACCATTAGGCTTCAGCCACACACATAACCAGACTCTCATATTCACTTTACAAGGAACAGTGGAATGCAGTTTTCAGGACTGGTATGGCTGCGTTTGCAATAAGATATCATTGTGTCATTTTGGGTTTTGCTAAGTGTTGAGTCTGTTAGGGCTTAACAGAAATATAGGATGATTATTGTCCATGTCTCTTGGTGGGTGTTACTGTCTTAACACACGAATGGTCTCCCCACATAAACAGTAAGTTCTTTTTAAACACGGTAAATGAATACTACAGAAAATTAAAACATGCCTAAGACTTGAGGATTTGAAACTGATCTCTTTAGATTAAAAAAATAATATAGTTTTTAGATAGGGGAGTAGTAGGCAAACATATCGAGCTTGCTTCCTATTTCTTTTAATTTTCTACATGAAATTTTATTGGAATGCTACTGCGGTCATCTGTTTCTGCACTTTAGGTATATTCTGTACCTGTAGAATTAAGGAGTTATATGGTATAAAAGCCTAAAATATTTGCTGCCAAGCCTTTTATAAAAAACTTTGCTGACCCCTGCTGTGTAGGAAGTTAGCGTGCTCAAGGTCCAATGAATTTCATGTTAAGAAATGTGAATTATAAATTCAGTCTATAACTATAAAGCAGCAAATTCACACTTCCTAAAAGCCCTTTGGGTTTTTTCTTTTAAATATCAATATGGAAAGTGTTAAATATATTTAATGAAAAATCAATTATATTAATATAAAGTTTCAGGGCAAATTCCTTTAATGCTTCTGTGTGGAGATAAACATGAGTTCATGCATTGCTTAAAAACAAAAATCATCAGTAGTCCACTTCACTTAAAAGTGTCTTTTTATAAAATGCCTGGTTGCAGAAATGACTTTTCAGTGACTGTTCTCGACAGAGCAGGTTTTGCATGTGTGCAACCCTTGTCTTCTCTTGGCTGCTGCAGGTCTACCCCGGCCCTCCTCAGAGTGGTGCTTACCTGGTTGCAGGGAGCGCACAGATGAGCCATCTGCAGAGCTACAGCCTTCCCCCGGAGCAGCTGTCTTCGCTCAGCCAAGGCGCCGTTCCTCCATCTGCATGCCCAGCTCTTCCTAGCCAGCAGAACCCAGCTTCCTACCCCAAGTAATTGGATTATCAGTGGTGTTTGCAGTCGGTGCTGCTAGCGTTCTCAGGCCCGCACAGGCATCTGGCCTCCTAGATCTGAACAGGAACGAGGCAGAAGCCATCACTGGCAGGTGGCCTCCTTTGTGGTGGGAGTGGGTTCTCCAGGAAGCCCTGTGGTATTTAGAGGACCAGCTTGCAAGCCCATCCTCTGTGTGACTTGCTAAGCTATATTTTGATGTCAGTTTTGTACTCTTTTATTCTATTGCTTTTGTTTTTTGAATCTATGATACTTGATAGTGTCTTTAACAAAGCTAGTAAATATATCATTTCCCCACAAATTTTGTATAAAAGCTAAATTTTGTTATTAGAATATATAATCTGGGATGTTTCTTTAAGAAAATATTTTCTTATTTTTGCCATATGTCAGAATTTAACTTCATTGTAGAAGGCACAACATTTGAAAGAAGGCACACGAATCCATATACTTCTGTGGTTCTTGGGCAGATAGCTATGAGATGACAGGTCCAGTTATTTTTGACATTTATAATATTCTCTACCTACCGTGCAGTTAAATGGTTATTATTTATATAAATGTCTGTTTTGGACTAATGAAAACAGAAGCTGAATTTGTTCCCTTGAGACTAATGAAAGGTACTAGGTCAAGTGTTTACCCAGCTGTATTCTACAAGTCAGGATATTCTGCCTCGCAGCAAACATGTTGAGGTGGCTCAGGCAGTTTCTGGAAACCTTCCCGTCAGTGTCCTCCGGTGCTCTCTCGCCTCCTCAGTTTTGTAGTATTCATCCCCAAGAGTCCTGCGGTGGAGGTGCTCGGGGACTTTGCAGCTATTGTTGTGCTGTCCCGTCTCGCATTCCGAAGTGACCTTAAGAAAGCAGGTTTTTGGGAGACCTCACATTTAGGGGGTGTTTAATGTATGCCAGGCACTTACGCGTTACATACACCAAGCCATTCCTTCCGTGAGGGTGATAACCGCCCCAGCTAAGGTTCCAGACCGGGCATTCTGGCTGCAGAGCTCAAACCTAATGCCTGCAGTTTTGTGGCCCACCCTGATATAAATAATGGTAGGAAAATTGACTTTGTTACATTATATTTTGCAGTGCAACACGTCTGGAATGATAATTGGTGATGCAAATAACACAGGGCCTGGCGTGTACTAAACATCCCACAAATGTTAGCTAGCTGGCACCTACTTACTCTGCGTATTCCTTATCTCAGTTCACAGTTCCGCAGTCCACCCAGTGGCACAGGCGTAACCCTGCACTTTGGGCAACACTTACCTCTCTTAGCTCTCTCTGTTCTGCACCCTCCCCGCTGTGTCACCGATGTGTGCGATTCTTTGCTAATCTTCTGAATAACTTTTTCCATTAATATCATTAAGTTTTGTAATTAGACTCTGTGATCATTTCTTGCCTGAGCTACAAAATCCTTTCGCTTATAATCTTGCCCCGTGGATCTGTCTGTCCTGTTGCCATTTAAAGCTCTTAAATTTATCTTATTTTTTTCTGGTACCGGGGATCGAACTCGGGTCCTTGTACTTGCATAACAGGCACTGGAACCACTTAGCTAAATCCCCAGCCCTTAAAGCTGTTAAATTTAACTTTTTTTTTTTTTTTTTTGGTACTGGGGATTGAACTTGGGTCCTTGCACTTGAGAGGCAGGCGGCGAAACCACTGACCTAAATCCCCAGCCCTTAAAGCTCTTAAATTAAAACAAAATTATTTATTTATTATTAAAGCACATTGGTAATGTGGAATGGTGATGTTTGTTTTGGCAAACTGGTACACGCGTTTAACATATCTTGATTATTTTTTAATTCTGCTAACCCCATTTCTTTATGAGCTCTCTCATTCTCCTTAATGTAAGCCTCAAGTTCCTTAACATGCTACCGAGGCCACTCATTCTTCAGTTCTCGTCAGGAAATCCAGGTGGGTGTCTGACTGCCCCTACCACGTCCTTTACGCCATCCCGTACTGGTGGTGGTGCCCGCCACATACCAGGCCTTTCAGACTTTCCCTCTCTGCTCGTACTGTGGATGAGTGCCGTGCCATTCCATATTACTACAGTGTATCTTGGCTCATTACAGATTTAATAGATTGGTCCACCATTAATCCAGGTGGCTTTTGGAAATAACATCACTGCCGTCTTTCCCAATGAGCAATATGTTTCACCTAGTATGACAGAAGTCTGAAAAAATGTTAACTCTAATACCAAAATTATATGTAAAGGAACGAGAAGTAGCCTCCTAGGTGTGAAGAGCACTTAAAAAACCTGAAAAAATCACCTCTCAAAAACAATTACAGATCCCAACAATGCATGTAACTGTACTGTATCCCTAAATGTACCAATAAACTCAATAAAAAAAAAAAAAAAAAAAAAA